TACTTACTTACTTACTTACTTACTAATTAACTAACTAACTAACTAACTAACTAACTAACTAACTAACTAACTAACTAATTAACTAACTAACTAACTAACTAACTAACTAACTAACTAACTAACTAACTAACTAACTAACTAACTACTACTACTACTACTACCTACTACTACTACTACTACTACTACTACTACTACTACTACTACTACTACTACTACTACTACCATCACCACGCTGGACAGCTTAGCTCCTGGCAAACGCATGGCTTCGTGAAGCAGACCTCGGGTACTACCACGCAGCCACCTCAGCTGCCAGAAGGTCGAAATCGACAAGGGCTCCTACAAGGGTTTCCTATCATATAAAACTGACTCTCTGCATAGAATGTTTGCTAATGTACATGCATGTGCAAAAACGCAGGTGTGGAGGTGAAGGGCTCCGGGCTTCTGCAGAGCCAGCTGCACGGCCTCGCATCGAGACCTGTTCTCTTTAAATAAGGCGAAAGGTCTCGCACAAAAGACACTCTGTGTTTAACTCGCCGCAGGCTCTCCGGCCCCAACCGTCGTGCCCGAACTTTTGCTGATGCCTCAAGCACACCAGGGCGACGTCACTTGCAGCTGCATTCGGCTCGCCGTGGCCCTCGCATCGGCAACTCTCTTCCAAGCCGACATGTAGCTGGTGACCAGCCCGGCCTCGTAAAAAGTGGATTAACAGACAAGCTGCGAACACCCAGACCCCAGAAACTGAGTCGCCAGATCCTCCAAGTACATTCACTTTTCAAGCTGCATTTGATGGCGGGCAACCCTTTATCCTAGACGGCATCCAGAAGCAATGGTAGCTCAGAGCTGCCACGGTCTCATTTAATGAAACCACTATGCCACAGAGATCCAGAGAGCCAGCATTCCTCTCACTTCTGACAGGATTCTTAGCTCGGATGATTGCTTGGATCTTTGCTTGGGATCTCGCCTTGGGGCAGCTAGTCTGAGGCACCTTCCACTTGAAAGTGCTGGGCACAGAGCATGGATTCTGGACAGGAGAACTGGAGGGAGCCAATCACACCTTCTGGGTCCGAACCCGAGCCCGCTCCAACTTAAAATGCGACCATATTGCGCTTTGCGCCAGAGCTCTCCACCACTTGTGGCAGTGGCCAGGAGCTACATCCCGTCAGTTAAACTATGTAAAGAGCCAGCTAATCGTTCCCACTAAGTTCGTCAGAGGCCCCTCTGGCTCTGCAGGCTCATGAACCAATGTCGAGGCTCCCGACTCCTGGCAAGGCTTCGAGAGCTAGCTCTTTACGGAGCGTCACGCTTTCCCCGCCTCCACTTGTTGAACGATGTTGGAGAAGCTCACGCGAGCGCGAGGGATGGTGTCAGGAGCTGAAGCTTGTGCGTCGAACTCAGTGCCTTACAAATCACAGTCAGGAAGGACACTGTTGCATCGCAACCAGAAACAACAGGGGTCGTCGCTTTGATAGTGCTTCTAGTTCAGTTCATCACATCCAGCCAGCTTCAGGACAAACTCGTCTCCAGCCACAAGGCAACCTTACAACCTCTGCGCCTCGCCCGGAATCATTGTATTGGGCTGGCAATGTCAGACGTGCATTCAGGGATGCATGAAGGCTTTGTCGAGTCAAGGCTCCCCAGATGAAGCCCCCGACCTGCAAAGTATGCAGCTGTTGCAGGTCTCCCTGCAGGTCTAGATCTGCAAGTCTGCATCCGGCCTTCTTTGACAAGAAGATCTTGGAACTGAAGACTGCGTGGTTTTCCCCGCCAACGCTTCTCTCAAGCCTCAGTTTGGCATGCGGCCGATGCTCACGTCGGCAAGCCTGGACCCTCATCGACAACAATTCCAAGATATTCCAAGATCTCCTGAACTCTCCCAGGAACCGATCTGCACGGAAGATCGTGTTCACAAGTTGCCGCCAATGTGTGGTGGATGTGACAAAGATCACCTTGTCCCGGACCTCATATCTGCTAAGGCTGGACCTGGCCTACCAGTACACCAAATGGGCACAGCGCGATGTCTAGGGCCTAGGGCACAGGCACGTTGATCCAGAAACGGCCCCACGAAGCTCCAAAAACAGCTGATCTTCTGTGGAGGGTGGTAGAAGTAAACATCCCCGAAGACCTCGGGGTAGTGGTCCTGCTTTGCACGGGCTCGCGTATATTCGGAACAGCAAAACGGTCTCTGTTAGTGGCCCCACGAGAGCAGGCAGGAATACTCTCCGGGACCATCTGCGACAGCTCAACACCGAAAAGCCAACTGACTGAGCGGGTTTGAGCATCGGAGAAGCTTTCCCTTGACCAAGGGTGGGTCTCTAGTGCGCGGCACCATGGCAAGATTGTGCCGATACCCTTGTACCGCTTTTTAGCTGCCCATGTCATCTTGTGACCCTCCCTGGCTCCTGAAAGATGCGGAGGGCTGCACGTAATGTGCAAAGACGTGGCCTGACCGAGACAGTCTCAAGGGCTTGAACAAAAACGCACAAAACAGATCCCCAGTCTGCGGGGAAGCCATGCGACCCTCAACACAGTATGCGCGACAAGACTGCTTGGAATTATCATGTTGGCATTCTTCATCTGATGAAATGGCTCAGGCGCCGGATTTTCAAGTTTACGAAATGCAGAAGTGGGGTCTTAGACCGCAGGTTAAACAAAACGAGAGAGAGAGAGAGAGCCTCTAAGGAGAGAGAGAGAGAGAGAGCACAGCATCGTATAAACAACCACACAGGGGACCTACTGTAGTGCTCTTTGTTGGGTAAGTCGTCATGTTGCGCGGCATACAGGCCCTGATGTAAAACACGTTTGCGTGCAATGGAACTAATGGTTTATAGACGTATTCCGCCGACCCCTCTGGGGGCAGCGCCCAAAAAGTTGTGCTCCATGGGGTCAGTTTTCATGTCAATGCAGTCTTTTAGAAATAGAATTCAAGTTTGGCCTTCCTTGGCCTGTTTTCTTGGCATTTTTCATGGCATTTTGGTTTTAGTTGAATAATTTAGTTCCACTCCAATGCATGCCCAACCCTTTGACGGACATCCAAAACGGGAGGTCGCCCGCTCCGGCCCTCCTTGGCCTGTTTTTGTATTTTGGTGGTACCTGTGTAATATAGTTCCACTCCAATGCATGCCCAACCTCTCTTTCAAGCCCTTTTGTTAGCCTGTTTTCTGGGGATTCTGCATAGTCTTGTGGTGGTAGTTGAATACTTTAAAAGTGCCCAACCCCTCGAAAAGACACCCAAAACCTCCAAATGATGATGATGATGATGAAACTTGAGTGACAACTGTCCTGAGAAGAACGGAGCAGTGCCACGCCCTCCCAGAGGCCGTACTCATGCACCGTAGCTGCTCCAGAAGCCTTTCTCACGGCCTCATGCCACCTGCGCACACAAACATCCTGTGCAGTCCCAAAAGGCCAGCCCAGTCTCTTTTGCAAAGCAGAAGGTGCAGAGCGGCCCCACCAAGAATGGAATGCGTTCATCCTGTAGTCCTCGCAAATCCCACAACAAATGATCCATCGTAGCCTTGGGCCGAATCGCATCCCCAGCCCAAGCGCATCGAGCGCAGAAGGTGCTGTCCTGCACTTCTCGACGCTTCAAGCTGTCGAAGGCAGCAGAAAATTGTGGAGCACAAAGCAGCACCGATCATCGGCAGCTCTTTTTGCACGCAGTAGCACACAGAGCTTCGTCATAGCTGTCGCCCGCACAAACACGCGAGTCCCTGCGATCCTTTACAAGCCATTTCTGGAAATGCCAGTAGCCAAAGGCTTCGCGCCACAAGTGCTCAACCCTAGCCTTATCCCGAAGGAGATCACCCCTATAGCAAGCGAGAAATGCACGTTCAAACCCTTATGAGCCCACTTCCAATCGGCGGTGGGAGCCCACCCGTAGTAGGCCAAGCATTTCGTGCAGATGCAGCGTACGAGCTGCGAAACATCTGTCGTCAACAAAAGTACGGATCATGAGACCCTGGCATCACGAAGCATAGCTTGCGTGGGAGCTACCAGCACCTAAACCATGGCGACTAACGACATCCCATTCCCCTGAGGGACAGAGGTGCTCACGTGCTGAATCTGGTCATGAACGAATCCGCCGTAGCAAACAATGCGGCGCTGCTGGGACCACACATTGTCCAACAAGCTCGCAATGTCAGGCGGAAGCCCAAGATGCTGCATCCATGACACAGCGAGAGTAGGATGCAGAGTGTCGAAAGCCAGGCTCAAATCAAGAGAAAAATTTTCGTTGCAGCAGGCTTCGTCAATGGCAACCAAAGCGTCATACACCGAAGAGCCCCTCTTGCCGCCGATAGCCTCTGGCGGCCACCACTGACGGAGCCACGCTTGCACATCCTGGGTTTGAACAAGCGCACGGCTAAGCGATCTGTACCAGACCGACAGCACAGTGATGGGCCGCAACTTGGCCGCATCAATGACGTCATTGCCCGCGCCTTGCTGCCGGATGCGGCACTGTCTAGCAACCTTCCAGGTGTCCGGAACCTTACCCTGCTGCACAGGCGAAAAATCCTCAAAACACGCTCAAAATGGAGTCAGGAGGGTCTGCTATTATCTCGGTACCAGACAAACCGTCACCGCCAGCAGACTTGCCGCGCTGCTTGCGCAAAGCAACCTTGATCTCTTCGAGTGAAAGTGTGCTCCACTGTGGAGCCAATGCCGGCTGCCGCCTCCAGTCACAGGTGCGGTTCCCAACCGTGCGCCAGTGTCGCGCAAGCAACTGCTCTGCGGACGAGGCCGCTGGGAGCGGCTCACTGCGCAAGCTGAAGGACGGAACCGGAGGAGCCTTCTTGACCCACTTGTAGCACTCCGCAGTGCTTTTGCGAACACGAGCCTTCCAATTGGCGATTTTCTCGTCCAGAGAAGTCCTAAGTTGGGCCAGCAAGAGCCGGGCCTGCCGAAGCTTCTGCAAGGTAGTGGCCTGTTGCAGTTCAGGCCACCGAGCCACCCTAGTCTGGAGGCTAAGGAAGGCATGAGACGCAGTCTTGCCAGCTTGCTCCAACCTAATCATCTCAGACAGCTTGAAAAAGATATTTTGCAATTTCACAAAAACTGGACTGAGGAGCCTTCGGCCCTCCCTGAAAAACCTGAGTGCGTCGAAATTCCACGTATTCTTCTCACATCTGTCAGACCTCTTGCCCACAAACCCAGCAAGAGAGGTCCTTCCGGTCCTTCCAGGCGGAGGAAAGCAAGAAGCTGCAACGGAAGCAGCCTCCCCCAAAGTGGACTCGAGCCGCTGGCAGAAACAATCCCAAACCTTGTTTGCCCTGATCAGCATGTTCGGCGACCCCAAAAGGACCTTGAGCACCCCGAGCTGAAGCAACCATGTGCTGCCAAACATCCTGCGCAACCTCTTCAGGTCTGGAAATGTGCATCCGGAAAGCCTGCTGAGCCTTGCCCTTGTCCTGCCCTAAGGAGCTTGTGGAGCATCCTCGCTTTGAGCCGAAGAGCGAGGAGTGTCACTGGGGCAGGAAACTTTCTGCTTTTTCACAGTACTGGCCGGGGTAGCGTCAAGTCTCCACGAGTCATGACGCCTAGCGCGGTTGCGCGAGGAAGCAGACGAAGAGGCAGGAGTGGCTTCAACACGCCACCCATGCTCAGTAGACCGCACACTGGCAGGAGTGTTCTCGCACCTCCAGGCAGCATCACTCGATCGAGACTTGGCCGGCATGCCAAAATCACGAGCGCGGCCACCTGCACGGAGTATGCTGTGATTGACCTGCGCAGTCTCAGCAGAAATCGATTTTTTAGGCCATTGGCGACCTGGCTAAAGTCTTGCTAAGTGATAGTGACCACTTCGAAGAAGCAAGACTATGGGCTCCTTGCCAGTACTCTGGGAGCCGATCATTGGGCGATCCTTGTCAATCCTTGTCGTTAGCGGTCATGGGAAGCACTATGATGCATTTCCCGAGTTTCTTAGAAGCCCCAAAAATTGAGAGGCCATCTAACTATCCATCTGCCGGGCCTGAGCGTAGCTTGCGCCCATTCTTCCCAGGACTTGGGGATAGGATTTTTTTTGTTCTTCGTTGGCAGACTCAGACAGAGATTCTGGCTCAAAGAAGGTCTTGTAGCTCTCCTCATGCTGACATTGGTAACAGGCTTGTAGATATCATTCCTGATCGTGGCCGCCCTCGCCGGGAGTTCGGCACGCATACTGTCGCAGGTTTGTCTCCGTTGAAACCCTAAACCAGCAGCCAAGCACAATTAACCACAGTCACCCCCGCCGCGACAATCTAACTTGTCGTATTTGTCCCCGAAGGGAAAGGCCGAAGCGTCCTCGCGCGGTTGACGGCTGGCCTCCGAGGAGGTCGACGGAGACTTGGGCTTCTCGGACGTAGAGCCAACGGCACACGTGCGCCTTAGGCTCGTTGAAAGCCTGTGAAGGGCCCTTGAGAACCTCAACCGTATCAACCTTAAGCCTTACGAGTGGCCTTGCTATAGGAGCGCGGCTCAAGAGCAAGTTCTGGGACCCCTCAGAGATCGCAGTCACACCTAATTCATTACTGTCTTCGACAGTTGCTTTGAGGAGCCAAGCCTTGACCCGCCCCGGCGGCCTAATCAGCTCCACATCCTTAGCACCCGCGTCAAGGAGACGCTTTAGCACATCTTGGGCATCCCAATTTCGCGGAGCACCTTTCAACAACGACGCATGCTTCTGAGATTGGTGCTTCCCTCTCGGGGGGTGCGCAATCCAAGGTACGTACCTCCCCCCCTACGGTGGGCAACGGTGGTATGCTCATGTTTCGCTTACTGAACGACGCGGCTCAAGCAATCCCTCCGTGGCGTGTTTTCATGGTATTTTGGTGGTATAATTGAATGATTTAATTCCACCCCAATGCATGCCCAACCGCTCATTTTGGTGGTAATTGAGAGTAATTTAGTTCGGATGGCAATCATTTTACATTGATTGCGCCGCATTGTATGACAACCCATGTAGCCCTCTGCAATCACGCCCGCTTGCAGCCGTCCGCTTTCCCATGTTACGTCGGGCAACTTCGGGGTCGGCGGCAGTGGCGGCAGCCATGAAATCGGGCAGCGCTCGGTCCCCGAGCGCGTGCTCCCTGTGGATCCGAGCCTCAGGCGAGCTTTAGCTTGATAGCTTTGCTTTAGCACAAGGCGCGACCGCCAGTGGCGCCGACCCCACCCAATTTCGAGTTTATCCGCGTAATTTTGGGTAGCCATGGAGCATCAGCGGCCGCAGTCCGGTACCCGAGGCACGCATCATCAGCATCAGTGGGCCCTGCGGACGCGGGGGCGGGTGGCAGAAGGCCCCCGCGTCCCGGTTAAATGTTGTTCTATTGGTTTGTCCGGGCTGCTACCTGCTGCCCGCCGGTGGGCGCAGCCCCGAGAATCGCGGGCTCGCCGTGGCTTGCTAGCTTTGCGTTAGCAAAAGGGGCGATCGCCAGTGCCGCCGACCCTTGTTTGGACGCACGCGTTTTGCGGACCTCAGGAGGGCAGCCGGCGAGCATCATGAGCACTCGGGGCCGCAACCGGCCCTGCAGCGCGAGGCAATGTTTTGCATTTTTTGAATGGGTTGCGGAACCCCCCAAAGGGCGCGCATCATCAGCATCAGCGGGGTTCGGCGGACCCGAAAGGGCGTGCATCATCAAGCATCAACCTGGTTTCGCGAGGGGGGGTGCATGGCCTTGCTGCAGGCTTCTACTTGGGCTGCCCGCCCGTGGGCGCCCCTAGAATCGGGCAGCGCTCGGTCCCGGAGTGCATGCGTCCTGTGAGTTCGAGGCTTAAGCTACAGCTCGGCGTCCACCGGGCCGTTTCGCGGGTTTCGGGGCCCCGTGGACGAATCCAGGAGGCCATCCAGCGAGCAGCATGAGCTCGGGGCGACCGGTTTGCCAATTTTTGATACATCATCAGCATCAGCGGGGTTCGGCGGAGGGAGGGTGCGTGGCCTTGCTCGGCTTCTACCTGCATTGGCCGCCCGTGGGCGCAGCCCCTAGAATACACTACTGCCCGCACGAATCTGGTACGACACTGTGTTCCACTACTTTTTTGTATCATGTTGTCTCATCGTCTGATCGTCTCATATATACACATACAACTGGACAGTACTGTCAAGTTGGCACGGTCGGAACATTGTGAACCTGTGTTGCAAAAGAGCTTGGCACCAATACACCGATAGCCCATGTGCAATCAGAAGTTTGCTTGGCGGTGATCGCAGTGGCAGTAGTATAGTAGTCGTCGTCGTGTCGTCGTCGTTATCGTTCTCGCAGTCGTGGTCGTGAACATCGTCGTTGTCGCCTTTCTGGTGGTGGTGGTGCTGGTGGTGGAAGTCGTGGTGGCATCAGATATACCGATGGTTAGTGTTAGTCAGCAGCAGCAGCAGCAGGAGGAGGAGGAGTAGTAGTAGTAGTCGCCGTCGTAGTAGTGATAGTAGTAGTAGTAGTAGTAGTAGTAGAAGTAGTAGTAGTAGTAGTAGTAGTAGAAGTAGTAGTAGTAGTAGTAGTAGTAGTAATAGCATTTTTTGTCACCCACTGTAGTAGTAGTAGTAGCAGTAGTAGTAGTAGTAGTAGTAGTGGTAGTAGTAGTAGTAGCAGTAGTAGTCGTCGTCGTCTTCGTCGTCGTCGTAATGGTAGTAGTCGACGTCGTCGCCGTCGAGGTCGTAGTCGTAGTCGTCGTCGTCTTCATCGTCGTCGTCGTAGTAATAGTCGTCGCCGATCGTAGTCGTAGTTGTGGTCGTCGTCGTCGTCATAGTGGTAGTGGTAG